CAGACAAAATCCACCAGTAGCTTGCAGGCCGCGAAGATGGTGCTTCTTCCCCACTGGTTGCTGGGCCCCTTGCTGAGGGGAGGGGAGAACATGGATGTGCCCTTCCTTCACATGGATAGGTAGGCCCCCTGCCCCCTGCCAGCTCTTCAGGCCAGACTGAGTGAGTGGGGCCATGAGGTTCTCCCTCCGACAAGACCATCATCTTTCTCATATTCAGCCATTTTGGATCTCCCTGGGAGATAGCCATTTAAACAAATTGCTGTTGTAAATACTATCAATGCAGAAAAAAATTGCTGAGACTAACTTTTTTATATTGCTTCTTTCTAGACCCATGTCTTTAAAGGTATCCCTGACCTTCCTTTGGTTATCTCTGCATCTTGCCAACATTTCCACCTGTCTTTCAATACCTTTTCTCATATTTTATTCTGTCTTCTGTTCATATTCTCCCACTAGTTTGTGTATATATTTGATGGAAAAGCTGTGTTTTGGGAATAAACTGGCCCTAAAAATTCTGCAAAGTATCTAGGAGAAACATCTACTGAGATCTTTCTGAGTAGTGTCTAGAGGCCGGCACTGTAATGTAGTGAGTAAAAGCCATCATCTGCAGTGCCAGCATCCCATATGGGTGCCACTTTGAGTTCCAGCTCTTCCTCTTGTGATCCAACTCTCTGCTATGGCATGGGAAAGCAGTGGAAGATTGCCCAAGTCCTTGGGTCCTTGCACCTGTGTGAGAAATCTGGAAGAAGCTCCTGGATCCTGTTTTCAGATTGGCTCAGCTCTGGTTGCCGTGGCCATTTGGGGAGTGAACCAGCAGGTGGAAGACCTCTCTCTCTCTCTCTCTCTCTCTCTCTCTTCTCTCTCTCTCTATCTCTCTCTTTCTCTCCCTAACTCTACCTTTCAAACTAATTTAATTCTTCATCATGAGTCCCTTCCCCTTCTTGTTTCCTCTCTTATTCATTTTCACTGGGATCATAATTCTGTTAAATCACTTGTAAGGAGATTTCTGTCACAGGGTTGGTTCTGAGGAACTTAAGACTTATTATATGTTTCACACTGTGAATTATAATAGCTACTTTGGTAAGCCTTTGATTGGCTGATTAGTGTTTGTTTATAAACATTGTTAATGTGTCAAAGGACTTGGACATTCTGAAATATATTCATAAATATTAAGATATAGTCATCTTTATTAAAAACAAATTGTGTTCTCAAGAAGTCTGTGTTGAATATTCCTGCAAATATACCTCAAATGAGGCTATCTCAACCCATCAAGATGGTTCTAATAAAATAATATTCAAGATCAAGGAATATGAAACTTGTGAGAGGCAGTATAATATAATAACTTAAAGTTACAGAGTACTTTTTCTGTGTGTGGAAGTGTCCTAAACATTTAAATACAGTAGACCATTTAATCTTCCCAGGAATATCATGAGAAATCTACTATCTTAGAGTCAGGCTTCTGAGATCAGACATTCCATGCCCGAGGTCTCACAGGCACTGTTACTACAAAGACAGCAGTACCAGTGGTTGTAACAGCAGTATCAGTGATAACACTATACTCTTTTTCACTTCCTTGTCCATTCCTACATCACAGCATTTTCATGTAGGTTTTGAGGGCTTTCTCAGACTTCCTGAAGGATTGGAATGAAGAGAATTAAAATAAAAAAAGATTTATTTATTAATTGGAAAGGCAGAGTTGGGGGAGAGAGAGAGAGAGAGAGAGAGAGAGAGGCAGAGACAGATCTTCCATCTGCTCGTTCACTCCCCAGATGGCTGCAATGGCCAGGCTGGACTCATGAGCCAGGAGCTTTATCCAGTCTCCCACATGGATGGCAGAGGTCCAAGTAATTGGGTCATCTGCTGTGCTTTCCAGGCTATTAGCAGGACGATGGATTGGAAGTGGAGCAAACAGGACACAAACCTTTATTGGTGTGGGATGTCAGCATTATAGGTGGAGGCTTTACCTTTTTATTCCATAATATGGGCCCAAGAATTACAATTTTGAGGGAAGGAGAAAGACAAATTGTTTCAAATGTCTTTCTCCACAGAGCAAAGGAAAAGCATCTTAAAATTTAAGAATGCGAATCTCTAGAGCTACTCTATTCTGTAGACTTTCTTATACTGACATTCTCTGTCTTTGAGAAATAGACAGCTTTCAGACTTCGCAATGTATTTTCTATCTTTGTTTAATTAATTCAGGTTTTTATTCTATTTTACAATTTTATTTTTATGACAATCATTGTGTATGTGTTTTTGGATACTCTGTAATGCTTTGATATATGTATACATTGTGAAATAAGCAAATTAACATATCAATCAGGTAATTTATCTATCATTTCTTCATGGTGAGAATGTTTAAAATCTATTCTTTCAGCATTTTTGAAATACAGATATAATATTATTATTAACTGTAGTTATCTTATGGTGAAATAGTTCACCAGAAATTCTTCCTCTTTTTTAAAAGAGAATTTTCTAAAATTTATTTAAAAGGCAGTGTTGGGGTGGGGGTCTTCCATCAGTTGGTTCATTCTCCAAATGGTTGCAATAGCCAGAACTGGTCTAGGTCAAAGTCAGTAGCCTGGAGAGCTTCTTTGAGGTCTTCCACATGGGTGAAGGGGCCCAAGCACTTGGGCCATCATTGGCTTCTTTCCCAGGCATATTATCAGGGAGCCGGAGCAGAAGTAGAGCAGCCAGGACTTGATCTTGTGTGCTTATGGGATGCTGATACTGCAGGTGGAGGCTTAACTTGCTTTCTTACAGCACCAGCACCAACTCTCTAGCTCTATAAGTACAAATTTTGAGATTCTGTGGATAAGTAACTTACACTTTATTGATGGGTTTGATGTTTTCCTACAACGCATCACCCTCCTAGCCAAAATACCTATAGACCTTGTGACTCCTTCACTGTACCTGGGATCTCTTTCCTAACTGACTGGAACCTCCCTAAATCTACTGATATGGTGATTTCCAATTCATGTGTTTCTATGTTTCTCAACTTCAGTCACTCAGAGACTCATTCTACTGGTCATGGGAACCCAACTCTACTGACCTTATAGCTCAGCCCACTTTAAATTTTGTTACCTACAACAGGACTCAGTGTTTCCCCTTTTTGAAGAACTGATTCCCACTGACCCCAGGCCCCCTAATCCATGCTGCTGCTGAGGTCTCTCTCTCAGTGATACTCAAGCAAATGACATCATAGTCCCCTCCAATTCTGTACCCACCTTGACAGCAATACTATTGTCTCTACTTTATTACAGAAAACCACACTCTGTATAGACATTGCCTTCCTATTGCAATTTATCTCTTTCCATTTTTTGGGATATCTCTAGAAAATAGCTTATAAATGTAATTTAAAAATCACATTTATTAAATGCTTGTCTTCAAATATTCTTTTTTATTTGTACACTATTCTTTTGATTTAAAAATAAAAGGTAATCTATGAAAAGCATTCAGTAAATGTTAATTGAATATTGAGCAATTTCTAAGGATGCAGTGAGGTGAGAGATAGGCAACATCTTGCCCAAGGGTTCTATCTCCATCACTATTTCAATTTTACCTGATTAGGAAGTCCTAACACTTACCAAAACTATTTTTCCAGTGAACAAAAGGAAAATCATACTGTTTAAGATCACTTGCTTCCTCTACAGTTTTTCAGTTCCATGACTCTGCAACACAGAGCAGGCTTAACTCATTGAGAGGACATTGGTGAGAGATTTATTATTGATATCCCCTAGCTCTGATGACCCCGCTCATTTGGCTGCTGTTCCCTTTGTTGTTTTCACTGGCTGTGGAGAGATGGAGAATGTGTATGTAAATGGAAACCAATGTATGTCCTATGTCCCATATGAAAAAGATTATTTATTTAATCAGGATTCTTCCAGATGTTACCTTTGAGTAACTAGCATAAAGTATAGATTTTCAGACTGGTGATTTCTTTTTCATGTGAGGCCCTTGGTATTAATTTTTATTCTAATCATGACTTTGTGGTTCAAGTGGTATGAAGAACCATAACTGTGACTGATATGAAAAGAAGAATTTTCTTACATTATTATATGTAAATTAAAAATTATCTCATTGAAATATTATAACCCAAATAAGGTTCATTATTTAGTTATTTTCAAAAACTATATGCTTTTTTGTATTTTTATGTGATGCTTTTTTGTAATTAATGCGTTTAGAACCATAATGAAGAAGGAGATGGGAGAGAAAGAGGGGGGTGGGATGGGAGTTGGGGTGTGAGGGTGGGTATGGGGGAAAGAACCACTTTATTCCTAAAGTTGTACCTATGAAAAAAGGCATTCATTAAATAAAAGCTTAAAAATAAAAAATTAGAATTTATTAATGCCTTTATCAAACCTGACTTTGTGTGTGTGCTTCTTAAATGACACTTTGCCATACCTTTGTTCCAGGAGACAATCTTTCTCAGACTTGTACATGACACCAGAACATGCATGTGAACAACAAACTATCAAGATAGTAGGGAAGAAGATGGTGATAGTTATAAGAGCTAAGCAGTTACTTGATTTTTACTTTCCATATTGGGCTGACAATGTTTTCTTAATTAATGAGGGCTCTATCCCAGTCAAGTCATTAGTTTAGTCTTTCCAAGAACCAAATATGACCAAACATAGCTATGCTTCAGAATTATGAAAGTTTGATTTTACATTTAAGAGTAAACACGTTTTCCTTATAATTTCAGGGGGGTGAAAAAGCCACTTGAGAAAATACCTAAGTGAAATTATAACTTCTGGGGAATAGTTGTATGAAGATATAAATATTCACAAAGTTATTCTATAGAGGTTTTCAGTAATCTGCAGTGATTTTGATTTGGCTCTGTTAGTATGATTTTATGACATAGTATATATTTTAAAACAATAAAATATTTGTTGCGGTTAATAGTTTAAAAAATATATGAATAAGTGTTAAATTTGTTTCAGTTGATTTTTATCATATATTCATAAAATGTTATAAACCCAAAGGAATTAACACAGAGAGAAATGTTCTTTTTTTTTAAAGATTTATTTGAAAGTCTGAGTTACACAGACAGAGGAAAGGCAGAGATAGAGAGAGAGAGAGACTTCTTCTATCCAATGGTTCACTCTCCAACTGGCCGCAACGACCAGAGCTGTGCCAATCCGAAGCCAGGAGACAGCAGCTTCTTCTGGTTTCCCCACGTGGGTGAAGGGGCTCAAGGACTTGGGCCATTTTCTACTGCTTTCTCAGGCCATAGCAGAGAGCTGGATCGGAAGAGGAGCAGCCGGGACTAGAACCTGCGCCCATATGGGATGCCTGTCCTTCAGGCCAGGGCATTAACCTGCTGTGACACAGCGCAGGCCCCAAGAGAGAAATGCTCTTTCACATGAAGTCTTCAACTCGTGAACAGATAATGGTCTTGTGTTTGTATGTTTTGTTTTTTAAAGGGCAGTATGGAGGTTCTCACTGTGAGGAGGAAGTGTGTTAGGGTTGTTCAGGTACTGTGATTCTTTTGTTAAGACCTGAGGCTCTTTTTTAAAAGCTTTATTTATTTATTTGAAAAGCAGCATAACAGATGCAGAGAGAGAGAGAGAGAGAGATCTTCCATCCTCTGGTTCACTCTGCAGATGGTCACAATAGCTGAGCTGCACCGATCTGAAGCCAGGAGCTTCTTCCAGGTCTCCCACATGAGTGCAGGGGCCCAAGCACATTGGCGATCTTGTACTGCTTTCCTAGGCCATAGAAGAGACCTGGATCAGAAGTGGAGCAGCCAAGACTTGAATCGACGCCCAAATGGGATGCCAGCACTGCAGGTAGAGGCTTTACAGGCCCAGCAGCCCCCTGACCTGAGGCTATTTTGTGGCCACTAAGTGCCACATTTTTTTCAAATCATCAAGCACAGCCTGCTTTGTGATTTTGGCCCAGGCATCAGGGATTTTACCTTTACTTGTAAATTTTTTCCCATATTTTTCTTCTAGATTTGATCTGAAGTGAGAGACAAACCATTTCCAATAGGGCTGTGTGGATGAATCTGGAGTGATGTTCCATGTGGCATATTCCCCTCCTGCTTCTCTATAGGTCTTGTATGGGATTTTCCGGCCATCACCGAGAACTAATAAGCAATCACTTGACACCAAACTAGTACAGCAATCAATGACAAAGTTGTCTGTTTCATCCCATGTAACTTCCTTGAGTGCCTGAGGACGGTGGAAGGGAACACTGTGGTCTCCCTCATGAGTAGGAATTGTGTTTGTACAGATTGCTCCACAGCAGGGACATTGTTTCCAGCAGCCACAGAGGTGTTCAGAGAGTATTTCCTCAATTGGAGGAACCAGTCCTTCTCCAGGCATCCTCAAAAATTCTTCTTCTATTTTCTTCATTGCAGGATCCAAAGCTGCACTCATGGCTTCCTTGAGAAATTCCATGTCTTTAATCTCCTGGTGTTCAATGCTTATCAAGTCACTTCGTGGAAACATCAGTTTGCTCTCCAGGAGACCACAGAACAGATCCAGCCACTCAGATGTGGTGCTGTTTTTGTCTTTAGCTTCTGCTGTGGATTCGTGAATGGAACAAAGGAGGGCATTCTTGATGTCTTCTAAACTTATTTTTAAAAGAGTCTTTATTTTTTTTCTCCCTATTCCTGAACAGTATTTTATGATTTCAGTTTCAATGTAACTCCTAAAAAATGATTCTGGATCATGAAGGTATTGCCAGTACTTTTCAAAGTTTTCTTCCTCTGCCAGAGAGATGAGAATGTGTTTCTCTAAGTTAGCTCTGTTTCCATTGAATTCAGGGCAATTATTTCTCATGTCTCCAGCAATTTTAAGGCTCATATTTTCCAGTGTGGAGCTGCCAACACTTGGAGTTAGCTTGTTCCACAGAAAATCAACAAATGTTGTGATGGAAGTTGCTCCTTGGCAGGAGATTTTAAAACTCATGAAGAAATTATCTTTCCTACATTCTAGATAGTACACAGGATCATTGGCTCTCTTAAATGCCTTGTGTATTTCCTTAAATTCCTCTGATGCTCTTTTGAATAAGCACAAAGTTAATTCAATGATATATTTGCTTGTAAATGTGTATCTTTCCTCTGTAGTTCCCTTTTTCACTTCATCATCTACTAGCTTCAGTATTTCATGGAAATAACTTGGATCATAATCACTATGTTCCCTCCAATATTTCTTAATAATTGCATTAAATTTTTTAATGATAAGTGTGTGAGTCATTTTTATTGACTCTCTATCATGGGCCTCTAAATGCTTTGTGAAAAAGTAGTATCTCTTACTCATTTTGACATGTTCATCATAATTGATTTCAAACTTCTTTCTAGGATTTTTCATCAGTGCTTGCACCAAATTGGTCTCTTTTGAAAAATGATCTAAAAGTATACTTTCAAAGTCCCAATCAATGGTAGGTTCTTTGACTTGATTGTTGCTGGAGGGCACATCATAGACCCATTTTACCCATAGTTGATTAAATTTCTCCTGTAACTCTCTCTCACTTAACTCTTTATCCTTTATATCTAAAGCCAATTTCCTGCTCTTTTCCAATAGTTCTCTTTCATAATTTATCATTTTCTTATTCAGCCTTTCTTGACGCTCTTTTAAACTGATAAGTTCATTAGCTTTGCTTTGGCTCTCTGAAATAAGTGTCTCTTTAAGCATAGTGAGCTTATGTTCAAAATTTACTTTCCATTGAATCAGTATTTCACGCTCTGGATCTTCACAAAAAAACTTTTCAAATTCTTGCTTGATGTCTTCATATTTTTCTATAACTGGAGCCTGTATTATGTTAGTTGTGAGTGTCTGGATTTTTCCATTCTCGATCTGTTTTCTGAGTTGGTTCTGCAAGTTCAGCACATGACTCCTCAGTTGCCAGGTCCAGTGGTTATACATAGTTTCCAGTTTGCTCATAGCCATGACCTCCCTGGTGTTTCTAAAACTGAAAATAAAGTTCTCACTCACCAGAGCTCTCCACAAATCTTGAATACGGAATTTTACATCTGATATCTTCATGATGTTTCCCTCGGATTCCTCTTTGGCAGTCGTAAGAATTGTGCTTTTTAGTTCCTGGACATTGTGGCTGTAGCGAGGATTAGGAGGAGCCATGGGGGGATCGCCATCCCAGAGGTGAGCAAAATAGTACACGTGAGTGTTGACATCAAACTTAATGACATCACTGAAGCGGTTTATGTCTGAGCACTGTTCTTGTTCTGCTGCTAATTTTGCCATTTCATCTAGTCTCTGCTGCATTCGCCTTCGTCCCTCCATCATTTGATCTTCAGCTGTAACTTCCTCCACATTCTGATGGACAAACAGGCAACTTGGTGAGATTTTCACCTGTTTCATCCTCAGAAAGGCTTGGACAACTATTTGTAGGATATCCTGCATCTCTGACGGATTCTCTCCAAAAATATTGATCAGAGTCAAGTTTCCTAGTCCAATGACAAAGGTTGCCAGCTCATTGTCTCGGATCTGGGATTTATTGCTGAACTCTGGTGCCCGGAGGCCTTCAGTGTCCACCACAAGCACAAAGTCAAAGCCAAGTTCCCCTGTGATTTTCTCCTCCACCTTCAGGAGCTGCATGTAGGCTCCCCGTGTACACCTGCCTGCACTGACTGTGAACTGCAGCCCAAAAAGTGCATTCAGCAGAGTGGACTTCCCTGAGCTCTGCAGGCCAAGGATAGAGAGAACAAACAGCCTTTTGTCTCCAAGTTTCTCAGCAAGCTTGTCAAAAACAGCTGTCACCCACTTTAGAGGCACATAGGAAGCATCCCCATCCATCAGCTCAATGGGAACACCATTTATCATCAGATCTGCAGCAATTTGTGGAAGGTGGAGAAAGAGAGTATCCCTTGTGTTAGAAACTTCTTCCAGAGCTTCATAGATCTGGCCAACCTCTCTGAGTATTTGATCAATTCCCAGCGTACAATTACTAATCTCTTTGGAAATGACTTCTATTGCATTTTGCAAGTCACTTGGAGAGTTACTGTTGGACATCTTTTTTTCTGTTTGTGGCTGAAACCACAGTGATCTTTGTCTCTCACACAGTTTTTCTAAGTGTCCTGCAGTCAAAGTTTCCAAAAACATATTCAGCCACTGTAAGAAGAAGAGTTTGGTCTGAGTTCCTGTATGTTCTTGGAGAATGTCAAGGACAGATTGCATGAAAGCATTGAGGGGAAATGCCCTCTTCAATTGATCTTGCCTTATTTGTTGTTTCTCGGTTTCAATGTCACTCTTGTGTTGTTCAATGCTCCGATTCCCCTTCTCTCTCAGATGGTAGAGTTCTTTGTCCTTCTTACACCAAAGTTGCCACAGATGTCCTTGAAGGGGCAGTACGTTTTCCTTAATCTGAGGTAACTTCATTGCTGACAGGTGTTCCAGTGTCGTCTGTGCCTTTTGTTTGGCTTCCTTGCAGTCTCTCTGGTCTTCGTCAATAAGGAATCCTTGCTTGCGAGCAATTTGGGAACAGTCCTCTAAGCTGAGAGCAGTGGTAACGGGTTGTAACAAACGTCGGATAGCAGTTGTGATCTCCTCTGTCAATTCTGCCTCATTTCTGTTCCTGATGCCAATACTCACTTTTTGACCAGGGTTTTTGGCCATGGTTTTTTCTTTGTCATCAAGCAAGAAGATCAAGGGCCTTGATGACTTGTATAGATAACGGACAATCTTCCGATTTTCTTCATTGTCATCAGAAACAGACATGAGGACCACAATGAGAGAAGAGATTTCCTGCAGGAAGCTGAGCTGCTGCGGGTGTTCCTTTGCATCTCCATGAAGATTGGTGAAGGTCACACAGTTGTCAAATCTGTTCTCATTCCCCACCCCAGGACAGAACCAGCAGATTTCCACCACACCCCCCATCAAGAGACAGTCTTTTGTACTTCCTGTGCAGTGGCGGTGAAAAAACACATCATGTTTATGTTTACTTAGAATGCAGTTCATGATCTGAGATTTGGAAGCAGATAAGCCATTTCCAACTCTAATGAAGGACACAATGGAGGTAGAGACACAACACATCTGCTGATTCTTGTAATTGTTCTTCTTCCTATCTGGTGATTTGCTGACTTGCTGCCAACTTCTCCTGATTTGCCTGAGAGACCAGAGGGAGAATTCAATTTGAGAAGTGCACGGATTTGGCACCAGAAGGGGGAGGGCAAATTGACAAATGGAAAGCTTGGTTAAAATATATTGCCTGGCAAAATCATCTGCACAGTGAAAAATTGCCATCTGAATATCCATTGGGTGAATGTTGGGCCTTATTTCAGTACTTGAAGTCTTAGTGGGTCTAGGAGTGCCTTCAAACAATTCTTTATATGGATCTACATCCTCATTTTCTTGATTGGAAGATCCTGAGTCAACCTGGTGATCTGTGTCTGCATCATTCATGAAGCCCAAATATCTCAGGCCATAATCCAGCATCAGCAGCTTCTGCAGGAAATAAAAAGGAAGGTCCTGTTCAGAGCTGGGCTGGGTGTTGTACACAGAAGTGTTGTAGATCTGATGAAAGTTAGCTTTGCTCATCCTTTTTGGATAGTAATGGTCTAGGCCTAGCTGTTGGAGTAAGTCTAGGAAGGGTCTGTTTTCCATTATTTCCCATTGATTATTGTCATTATCATATGGTTCATGAGGTGGTTTCTTCTCACAAAAGATGTTTTCCAATTGTTTTCTCATGTCATCCATTTGCAAAGTTGGCTTTGTGGCTTCATAATCCCCATCAATGAGCAATCTCAGGTTTTCTTCTAGGCGTTCCCAGTCATGATCTGCTTCAACTTTGGTGAGGACATGTGCCACCTCTTCAGACAATGATTGTCCTAGGTATTGTTTCACTAATGCCAGGCATTGTTTTTTTTCTTCTGGAGAAATAGCTGTGACTCCAGCTGTGGCTGTCAGACTGGTGAGCACCAGGAATGCATGGGCCCTGAAGTTGCAGATCTGTTTGAGCTCTTGGTATTTACTTTGAGCTGTTTGCATTTCATTCAGGAGGAACTTTAACTCATCACATCCCAGTAAATACTGAAAAGTATTGCTCAGCACATGATATCCTGCACCAGTGGCAATGGAGATTATCAAGAGCTGTGTATCTCTCTGTCTTGCTTCTTGGAGGTAGTTTAAGAAGCAGCTGAGAGCCGAGGTGATTTCATAAGTTGCTTTTTTTTGAGCTTCTTCCATGTTTTCTGGGGACTCAGATTTCACTTTCATTTCCAGGAGTTTGTTGTAGTTTTCTCTAAATATGTTAATCAATTCAGAAAATTGGGAGATACAGATTTGCTCTGGATCTGTCTCTGACTTGAAGATCCAATGTATGATGGAGTGAACTTGAGGAAAGTTTGTAACTTTGTAGATGTGAGGATCTAGAAGACTGCGTAATTGAGATTTAATGAAATTTGTATTATAAATAGAAGATTTCTTGCAAAAGTTGATAATATTTACTATAAAATTTTGTAGATGCACATCTGTGAGATATATATTAATCCATGTGTCATAACCATTTGATTTTTCACTTGACATTTGCATGGCATTTACTAATTTTTTGAGTTGCTCTTCAGGATCAGATACCTCCCAGGACTTCACATCCTCTAGAAAATCCCTAGCCTCCTTTCCAGCACTCAGTAATTCCTCTTTACCCTGCCTCTTGGCATTGAGGCTCAACATAGCAGTGTAGGTGTTTTTCAGGCAGTTAGCCACATGAAGAGCATCCTTAAAATCACTTCTATGTCTAATGAGGATCATTTCCCAAATTGGTACTAGTTGAAGTCCCCGATCAATGACACACCAGGTTTGATTGCTGGCAACAAGGCCAGCTTTCCACTGGAAAAGACCATCTGCTTCTGGTGGGCCACCTGTCTGGGCTACAGACAATTGCACTTTGGTTTTGAGGTTTTGGAAAATTTTTCTGTGAGTGTCTGTTTTTGAATGAGAGCCTGACACATCCCCACCTGCAGCAATATTCACTATAGAGCCACTGTAGCTTCCCCTCATGTAAGTATCCAGAGCCTGTGCTGATAGCTGTTTCACATCTGCCAGTTGCTGCTTCTGGAACCCTTCTGAAATGGCCTTCCACCAGAAGATTCCTCCCAGGTGCAGAGGACCTTGGTTAGCATGAGAGCCAAACCTGTGGAAAAAGTTTTCAATTTTGTGCCTCAGCTTGGAAGGTCTGTCTGGGCCTGGGTTCTCACCCTGCAGGTCTTCAATGCATTTCAACTCATGTAGAGCTGCCTTGGATAACTGGAGATGATCCAGGGAAAAGTAGCAAGAAGCGAGAGGGATGTAGCTGAACTTGGTTGAACAGAAATAAGTGTGCTCAGATTGTGACTGTTGGGTTTCTTTGGATTCTGAACTTGTACTGTGATGTATATCAGTTTCTAGACTGAATCCCCAGCCTCCACCCTTGATTGAGGTAGTTAAACTAAAGCCCAGCTTCTCTATACTCTGAGTGAACATGGACTCTGCTTGAGAAGAGGTGAATTCTTTTGTTTCCATCCGTGTGCTCTGCTCAGGGCCAAGGAGTGAGAATTCCTCAGGCAAACTGAGTAGTTCCTCCCTCTTCTCCAGCAGGTCCCTTTGGTGGCTGGTTTTGAAAATTCCCTGCAGGGCCAGCCCTCCAGATGCCCGTTTCACCAGATCTCTATCTGGGAGGTTTTGCCTGTGGGACAGTGTCCCTTCTGTGACCTTCAGTTGTCTCTGCAAGTTTTCCATGACTTCCTGAAGGGGCTTTTCAGGTGGTGGCCAGTACTCCTCAGGGATCTCCATTGCTTGCCTCAGCTCTGCTTCCCTTCTCCTCACTGCCTCTTCCTGTCTCTGCCTACCTTCTGACAGCAAGTCTCTCAGTCCCTGCAGGGCCTGTTGTGCCTGCATCTGCTTTTGGTTTATCAGCTCCACAGGAGACTGCTTTGACTCTGAAAGACCAGACTGTGACAGTTCCAGCAGTTTCTCCAGGGCCCTTTTCTCCCATGGATGTTGTACCTGGGATTTCAGCTTCTGGAGGTCCTCTTCATCAAGGTGTTGCAAGGCCTGGGCACAGGTCACACCTAAGTGTTCCTGCAGCTTTGGCAACCAGTACTCAATAGCCAGTCCAGCTTCTCTCAGCATCTCTTGGAGATCTTGCCTCTTTTTATCTCGCCATGGAGGTCCATCGGGGTTGCATCCTCCTGTGTCCATGACTATGTGAACAAGAAACAAGGTTAACTTGACTCTTTCCTGACCTTGGGTTGTGTCAGTCACATCTCCAATAAAGTGTGTATATTAGTTTCAAAAGTCTACAGGACTTTGTCATCCCACTTTTAAGTGTTCCATATATATATTGTTAACCTTTTTGTAAGTGCAAAGAATTATTCTCTGTGTTAACATGGAATGATTTTTAAGTTGCCAGAGTGATTTGTAATTTAGCCAGATATTGGCACTTTTTATTGCACAGAATTAATTCTACAGAGAGTATTGAACTAGTAAGTTGGAAAATATGAAATTGAAAGTCTGTTGTTTACTTTTAAAAGAAGAATGTGGGAGATTTAAAAAGCTATACTGAAGATGGCAGAGTAGGGAGGGAGATTACTGCTCGAGTCTAGGAGAAGATAGTTTAAAATTTTTTGAAAAAATGTAGTCTCAGGGAAGAGTTAGGGAGAAAATAGAGGAGGAAACTCTACAAAGGAACACAGTGGACTTAGGTGGAGGGCTGTGATGTGCACAACTTAGGACCCCACCAGTGTTGGAGAACAAGGTGAGACCAGACTTCAGCAGCCTAAGCCACAGGCAAAAAAGCTGCAGGAAAAGCCTAGATGGAATCTAGCTTGGAGCCCTGTGTGGGATAGTGTACCCACCAAACTTGAAGAGAAAAAATAAAGGGGGAGGACACATTTTCTCTCTCCCTGATCATCCTGCAAAGGCATCCTTTAACAAGCTGACAGAGAGTAGGCTCCATATCGGACATATGTAACAGCTACACCACCTTGTGTCTGCACCCAGCAACCAGCCAAGTGGAGACTCCTGAGTCTGGTTAGGGAGAATAGACAGGATGCTGTGTGCTTGTAACTGTGGGAGGCTTTTATGTTGGGGCTGTGAAAACACAGGCTCCATAGGAAGACTCAGGTTGTGACTGGAACATTGGGTGGTCAGTGTGGGAAGCTCCACATGATCAGGGCTTCCTGGCTACCTGGTGCGAGACATTGCTGGGGGATCTGAGTTTATACTGAGGACTGCACAGATCCTTTGTGTGGTCCTTGTGGCAGAGAAGACAAATAATATATGATGCTGGTGCCCAGGCCCTTGTCTCCTTCAGGGAGAGGGGCTCAGCTGAGTCTACATCAACAAACAAGAAAAAAGATCCCCTATGATAAAAAAAAGGTTTACCAAACCTGAGTGAGTCACCTCAGAATGCCTTTCACACTGGAGCACTGAAGAGAGCTCCCTGGCCACTCTTACTACATGCATCTAGTTATTCCCTGAAAGCAGACAATCCACTGATCCAATCAGACACAGTCAAAAAATATAAAAGCTGCCACAGTGAAAAATCAAAGAAGAAACAAACAAGCATCCCTACAAATATAAAAAAACAAATGCACAAGTCCAAGAAACAAGAACATGGAAGACAACAAGACACCCCCAAAAGAACACAACAACTCAATACTAGATTCTGAATATGATGAGATTGAAGAAATGCCAGAAATAGAATTCAAAAAATGATCATAAGATTACTTAGAAGTGATTGGAAGCAAATACACAAACTAATGAAATCCATATAGGACATGAAAGAAAATTTATCCTACATAATTGAGATCTTAGACATCAAAATGAAAATCTTGGGAATGAAGATTTAAAAGAACAAATAAAAAATACAATGGAGAGCCTTAATTACAGAATCGATGAAGCAGAAGAAAGAATATCAGATTTAGAAGACAAAGTACAGGAAATTATATAGTCAGATCAAACACAAGAAGAAGAAATTAAAAAACTAAAAAAACACTGTTGGGAATCTACGAGATACTATCAAAAGACCTAATATTTGGGTTCTAGTCATTCCTGAAGGCAAGGAAAGAGAAAGAATTAGAAGACCTTTTTAGTGAAATAATAACAGAAAATTTCCCCAATTTGTATAAAGAAAGGGGCATCCAAGTACAGGAAGCACATAGAACTCCTAATAGACATGACCAGAAAAGATCTTCACCAAGATACATTGTAGTCAAACTCTCCACAGTAAAACATAAAAAAAAGATTCTAAAATGTGCATGAGAGAAATGCCAGATTACTTTCAGAGCATCTCCAGTTAGACTCACAGCAGGCTTCTTTTTTAACTTTTATTTAATAAATATAAATTTTGAAAGTACAACTTTTGGATTATAGTGGGTTTTCCCCTCATATCCACCCTCCCACTGGCAAACTATCCCATCTCCTACTCTCTCTAACATCCCATTCTTCATCAAGATTAGTTCTTAATTATATTCATATACAGAAGATCAACTTAGTATATACTAAGTAAAGATTTCAACAGATTGCACCCACCCACACAGACACACAAAGTATAAAGTACTGTTTGAAGTATAGTTTTAGCATTAATTCACACAGTGCAACACATTACGGACAGAGATCCTACATGGGGAGTAAGTGCACAGTGACTCCTGTTGTTGATTAAACAATTACACTCTTATTTATGATGTCAGTAATCACCCTAGGCCCTTGTCATGAGCTGCCAAGGCTATGGAAGCCTCTTGAGTTCACAAACCCCAACCTTATTTGGACAAAGCCATAATCAAATTGGAAGTTCTCTCCTCCCTTTAGAGAAAGGTACCTCCTTCATTGATGGCCCATTCTTTCTGCTGAGATCTCATTCACAGAGATCTTTCATTTAAGTCATTGTTTTTGGCCACAGTTTCTTGGCTTTCCATGTCTGAGAAACTCTCATGGGCTTTTTAGCCTGATTTGAATGCCTTAAGGTCTGATTCTGAGACCAGAGTGCACAGTGGACTTCTTAACAGAAACCCTACAGGCTAGGAGAGAATGGTGAGATATATTCCAAGTGTTAAGAGAATAAAACTATCAATCCAGAATACTGTACCCTGAAAAGCACTCATTTATGAATGAAGATGAAATAAAGAACTTCCATAGTAAACAGAAATTGAAAAAAGATACATTACAAAAGATACTTAAGGATGTGCTGCATGCAGAAACACAGAACCAAAAAGGTCATCACTACAAAAGAAGATGAAGGAAGAAAATCTCCTAGTAAAAGCACAGAGGAAATCCAAAGTAAAAAATAGAAGTATTTATTGAACAATGACAGGGCAAAGTTGTTACTTATCAATAGTTACTTTGAATGTAAATGGTCTCAATGCTCCAGTTAAAAGACAAAGACTGGATGAATGGATTGAAAAACAAAAGCCACTTATTTTCTGCCTAGAAGAAACACATCTTTCCAACAAAAATACATACAGACTGAAAGTGAAAGGATGGAAAAAGATATTCCGTGATAACAGAAACCAAAAAGGAGCTGGTGTAGCCTTCCTAATATCAGACAAAATAGGCTTTAACACAAAAACTGTTAAAAAGAGATAGAGAAGTACACTATGTAATGATTAAGAGATCAATCCAACAGGAAGAAGTGATTATTAAAAAGGTATATGCACATAATTACAGGGCACTTGGTTATTTAAAAGAAATGTTAAGGTATCTAAAGGGACATGAAGACTCAAATACAACAATAATGGAGGTTTTCAATATCCCACTTTCAACAATGGACAGACCAACCAGACATAAAATCAGCAAGTAAACAGCAGAGTTAATTAACACTATTGAACAAATGGACCTAACAGATATTTACAGAACTTTTCATCCTACAGTTACAGAATCACATTCTTCTCACCTGTGCATGGAACATTCTATAGGATTGACCACATGCTAGGCCATAAAACATTTCTCAGTGAATTGAAAAAATCAAAATCATACCATGTATCTTCTCAGAAAATAATGGAATAAAGCTGGAAACCAGCAACTCAGGAATCTCTAGAGCATATGCAAACACATGGAGACTGAACAACATGCTCCTGAGTGAACAGTGGGTCATAGAAAGAATCAAAAGAGAAATCAAAAACTTCCTGGAAGCAAATGAAGATAACAACACAACATATCAAAACGTATGGGATACAGCAAAAGCAGTGTTGAAAGGAAAGTTTATAGCAATAGGTGCCTACATCAAGAAACTGGAAAGGCACCAAACAAATGAGCATCTCAAGGATCTAGAAAAACTGCAGCAAACCAGACCCAAAACTAGTAGGAGAAAAATAATTAAAATTAAAGAAGAAATCAACAAAATTAAAACAGAAAAATACAAAAGATTAGCAAAATGAAGAGCTAGCTTTTTGAAAAAAGAAACAAAATTGATGCACCATTGCCCCAACTAACCAAAAAAAAAAAAAAAAAAAAAAGGAAAGAGGAGACCCAAATCAATAAAATCGGAGATGAAAAAGGAAATGTAACAACAGACACCACAGAAATAAAAAGAGTCATCAGAAATTACTACAAAGAGTTGTATGCCAACAAACTGGGAAACCTAGAAGATATGTATAGGTTCCTGAACATGTAACTTACATAAATTGAGCCATGAGGACTTAGAAAACCCAAACACACCCATGGCCAGGATGGAAATTGAATCAGTAATAAAGACCCTCCCAACAAAGAAAGGCCCAAGACCAGATGGCTTTACTGTTAAATTATACCAAACATTAAAAGCAGAACTAACTCCACTTCTTATCGAGTTATTCAAAGCAATTGAAAGGGAGGGAATCCTCCCAAATTCTTTCTATTAAGTCAGCATCACCTTAATTCCTAAATCTGAAAAAGATGTAACTGAGAAAGAAAACAACATGCCAATTTCTCTGATGAACATAGATTCAAACATCCTCAACAAAATTCTGGCCAATCAAATCCAACACCACATCTGAAAGATCATTCACCTGGACCAAGTGGGATTTATCCCAGGTATGCAAGGATGGTTCAACATTCGCAAATCAATCAATGTGATACATCACATTAATAAACTGAAAAACAAAAACCATATGATTATCTCAATAGATGCAGATAAAACAATTGATAAAAATTGATGAAAATTCTAAACAAACTGGGTATAGAAGGAACTTTCCTTAACACAATCAAGGCAATTTATAACAAACCCATG